ATTAGTGACGTGCATTAAAGAAATGGGAATTATTATAGAAGGAGAAAGAGGAGCTTGGTGTGTCCTAGAAAGTCCCCCGGCAGTCTAGGCCTATAGCAGCTTATCTAAGGGCTGGTCCAGGCTAACCTGGGCCAGCCTTAACTATAAGCGGTATCAAAACCGAAAGTCTTAAGCTTTGTCTTAAATAAGATGTCTGTGTTTGCTCACCGGACTGAAAAGGTGAACCTTTTATATTTTCAGATCAAGATTTGGATCTCAAAATATAAAATCTGCAATCGAAAAATATAATGCAGTGAATATCAAAATATATATAAGATTGAAAAAATATATTTTATTGAAAAAAATAGATTATATATAAAAACTATATTCATCCCGAAAATATTTTTTGTCCACTTATTTTTATTTTAAATACACTGTTGTATTTTTCATCTTCAACAACAAAACTTAAACTTTCAGGTTCACATTTGTTTTTCAAATAAACAAAACTTTGGACCTGGATTTGGCTCCATAAACGGGTTCCACAAAAGAGGAGCTTGATAACTGAAGGCTCTGGCTCCCAACTTACTTTTTAAGACTCTAGGAACAAAAAATAACCCAGCTTCTATGGAGCTCAGCAGCCTACTAGGGCATTACGGTGTTATAAGAGAGGGTGCCTCACAAAGGCACATTGCCTTGTAGGTGTAGAGAAGTGCCTTAAAGTCTATTCTTGATTTACCTGGAGCTAGCACAGAGAAGCTAATACAGGAGTAACATGATCCTTTTTCTTAATTGGTGTTAATACATGTGCTGCAGCATTCCAAATCAACTGCAGCGGCTTAAAAGACTTCTAAGAGCAGATTGATAAGAATTACAAAAACCAGTCTAAAAAGTAAAAACTAATTTGTTTGCATCATTTTGATAAAGAAAATGCCTGGTTTTTATAATATGTAGAAAAAAGGCAGTCCTTGAAGTCTGCTTTATCTGAGAGTTAAAGGGCACATCCTGGTGGAAGTGTAACGGATGCGTGGGAAGGCAGGACTCAAAATGCAGACTTTCAAAAGCAAAAAGACTTTAATAGTCAAAAAGGGCAAAAAGCAAAAGGCCAACGGGCAAAAACACACACAGGAACCAGGGGAAAAACGGCAGGCAGGAACTACGAACATCCAGGACCATAGACAATGACGCGACAAGTGACAAGAGACACACACTGCTTAAATACACTAGGGAGGTGCAGGTGATTGGACACAGGTGGAAACAATCAGACAATCGCAGGGGATGACAGGACAAGGCAGGAAGTGAAGTTACCCAGGGAGACACAAAGCAGAAACCACAAAATAAGACAGGAAATAAACCACACCGTGACATGAAGATGACTCCAAGATTCTTTACGTTGCTGCTGGATACCAGAGCAATTCCATCTCCAATTCTCCATACCAGAGAATCTATATCACATGACAACTGACTTCAACGTTGCTCTTGGCCTATCCTCTGTTTTGTATAAGTATAATATTAGGAAGTTACTGGTCATCCAGGTTTGATGTCCCCAAGACATTCTTGAACTCTATCAAGCTGGCCGGTGTCGTCTGACTTGAATAGATACAATTGAGTATTGTCTGCATAACGATAAAGGTTTATGTAGTGTTTTATAAATTGGTTTGATGGTTATACCAAGGAGCAGTTAATATTCTCCTTACTAGAGGAGCAGTAGCGTCCACTGTGTGGTTTCAGAACATTATTCTGGCACTATTTGAATTGTGTTTGGTTACACCCTACACTATCGTGTTACCTTTTCACGAGTCTATTGTGCTGTCTCCTGTTCTGCTGACAATCCAGCAACAATTAATCTTCCCATTAAAATGTCAGAGTAAATGTTTTTTCTCAAACAAGGAATATACAGTGACGTTAATCACGACTTACTGTATACACAACACAGCATTTTGATTTATGTACTGATAAGCAACTGAACTGTTCAAGGTTTGGGAACAATATGGTCACTAGTGTTACCTGCCCAGTTCTGTGGTACAACTATACAGTTTAAACAATAGCTGCAATGATGCAATAACTTCCAGGGAGGTATGTGTTTGAATGCTAATGTGACACATCCCTGTATTACCTTGAAAAATGCGTCACCATCAAATATTCACATTTGTTGAAGCAGGCCGCACTTTTTCACGTTACTAACATTTTTTCAATTTAGGTTATAAGTGGGCTCACAGATCTAATCAACAAAGCAGCCAAGTTAGTAGCCGAGGGTTATATCAATTTAGTATTCACCATTTTTAGTTTCCAACCTAGGGCTTGAAACCAATTTCCATAAATGAAACCCTTTCTTTAAAAACATCTATACTCAAGACGAAACTAGCTAATAAACCTGCCAGTTGTAAATAGCATTAATTACCATGTTTCACTTAAATATATTTTTTGATATTTGCTGTATTGTATTTTTCAGTTGCAGATTTTATATCTTCAGATTTGAATCTTTGAAAATTTCTTCTTCTTTTTTTCAAATTCAGATTTGTGGGCAACTGAGAGGGGCATGAGTCTGTTGTGGTCAATAATTGTGATCTATGCCTCATATTAATGTGTCTGAAATAAATGTAAATAGTTTTTGAAAAGGCATTTTTGTTTTAGCAGACTCTTGTATGAATTCTAATATGAACGAAGGGGGCCATTCTGTTCAAAAGTCTTGATTGATTTTTGATACAGGGCTTCAATTTAGGTATACAGCTAAATTTAACTGACATTAAAGAATGTTTAAAAAATAATCCTTGCTTAAACCCAGCCTTAAATTCTAATCTATTTATTGATGTAGTTGAGTTATGCTGTAAGTGATTTTGATCATTTATGTTTATTTAGATCAAAATACAAAGCCAAACATAACAAAAATGATGAAGAACATCAGCATGGTACTTTACTCATATTGAGACCAATTTTATATTTTCTTTTCTTTGTATAACATACACCCAACATTTGAAATGCATAATACATATAATAACAATTACAAATGTATTGTGTGAATGAATGGTCCTAGAAGCATGTAAGAAAAGAAAAACTGTGGAATAATAAATAACAGCTATTCATCATTGGCTTTCATTGAATAAAATACTTCCATTGAATATATCATTTTGTTTTCATTTTACATGATTCACTATATTAGCATTGTTATACTCTATTTATATTATGGTTTTCTAACTAGTTTACAGGTTTCCTAAAAGCATGCCTCACATTCTCAAAACTTCACACAAATCTACTAATTCAGTCCTATATAAAACACGCCATTCCAAATAATGGTATGTCTTTAATGGGTTTTTTTGTGGTCACAAAATACAGACTATGAAATGACATTCAGTTCGTTTCATTTCAGTAAAAGTAAAAACTTTTAAAAAAGGCTTTCCGTTTTCCTTTGTGTCTGGCCAATTTTGGCTCATGGTTCAGGTTTTTGGTAAACTAGCTGTAGGTTGTGAACATTGTAAAAGTATTGGTGAACAAAAATAATTGATGATTGTTAATCCATTTTGTTGGAGTTTATGGTTCTATACTGCAGTCGACCTGGAAGGGCGTGATTCAGTTGGAGTGATGAACATTTGACAGGATAAATGTTGACTGGTGGTTCCTAGCAAAGGTTCGCACCTATGATCAAGTCGTGTGCTGTTAAGGTTGCTAGATATAGTTGGCTGCTGATACTTGACTGTTGCCTTAACAGGTGTGAAGTGTTCTTGGACCAGTCACCAGGCCAGTTGATGAATTATAAACTTCTACTCCAACTCTATTCTTATTTTATACTTAATGTCTATTGGTGTCCTATTGAGTTTGATACAATAGAGCTTATTCTTTAAATAAAAAACACAACCCGAGTCATTCTACGTACAATGACTGAGTCACTATTTTCCTTCATAGTGTGGCTTTCATAGGACAATAGACAATAAAACACAGGTGTGTCTCTTTTCCTGTTTTTTGGGTGTGAGTTAAGGTATCTCCATAGTGTTTCTGATGAGTGTGTTGCATGTGGCAGTGTGTCACAGTCAGCTTTGTATTTCTAGTGGGAGTTGAAAGCCTTTCCCACTCAGCTGTCCCTCTCACAGCTCTGGCCGTCATACCGGCACTAGCAGCAGCCGGTTGTTGGGCTCTAAGAGCACCAGACATATTCCTGCTTTACTGCTGTTGTGTCTTTTAAGCAGCAAGGCCAGTCTCACCACACACCTGCTAAACCTCCTCAGTAGCTTTTATATAAACACTTTATTCCTTACTAATGCAAACAGGATGTATGTTAACATTCACACTAGTTCTCAGTTTAACTATGTCATATGTAAGTTGCAAACATTTAGATATATTTAAACTAGGGCTGTAGAGAGAGATATTTTAACGAAGTTAATGCAACTTTGATTTTCCTGTGTGCGTTGACCCCGGAAACAAAACCAATCAGTTAGATGGGAGAAACTGGTTGAGGATGGAGAGAGCTTTTTGCATTGGAAGTAAAACAAACAGAGGCTCGACATACAGCGAAGAACTATGCAGAGGAATTACTCCACGTGTCAAACAGAAGGGGGATTAGTGGCAAAGGGACCACTTTAGCAACATGTTGCTAGGCTACTTGCTTCCCGACATCTACCTGGCAGAGGACCACCACTGTGTCCATAAAAGACGTGGTTTGAAAACGTCCTGCTAAATGGGGGGAGATTGACCAGAGTCACTAGTTCTACATGTTCCACCCGGTGGAATTGTGTCTTGGAGATGATCACATGTGTGTAGTTTCGTGGTTAAAAAAATGCCTAAAATATGCTTTCTAAAGTGATTAAAACAAACTTTTAACCGCAATTAATCTACATTAATGAATTTCAAAATATGAGATTAGTTCATTTTTTTAATCTATTGACAGCCCTAAATTAAACAAATGCCATCAAATTCCAGCTTTCCTACACTGTGAAGTGGGTTTGGGGATGTAGCAACTGGACAAATGCTCTTTTGACTGCACCCTTAGTGATTTTGTGTTTTGGTTTGTGTTTGTTGAACTTTAAACCCTCTCTTGGTACATTTTTATTTATAGAAAGCATGCCTTTGTTTAATAGATTCATACAAATACACACAATAGCCAGCCTCCTTGTATCATCAAACAGCACGGTGTGAGTGTCAAACAAATTTTGTAATACGTAAGCGGTGATTAAGATCCTTACTGTTGAGAGAGTGGGAGAGGTCGGAGGCACGTCACTCCCTCTGTATTCCAACGTGGCATTATATAACTATCAGTTACTAAATATGCAGTTCTTCTTTGATGTAGATGACATCACAGCTGTTCTTTCAGTAAAAATGACCAAACATGGGTTGACAGCATTTTCATTAACATTTGCATGAACATGCCTTTAACAATATGACCATATTAAACACATCAATTGGAAGTTATGTGGTTTTCACAAGCATAATGTCATTCAATACACGTTTTAAAATATTACAATGAAATGTGTTTTCACCTGATAGTGTCAATCAAAATACTTTATGGATACAGGAAAAAAGTATTGGCAATTAGATTTTAGTTCAAAGCATACTGTATATTGCATAGATATCTGAAGCCTCTGAGCACAGGAAGTTAAACATTTATATTGCCGTAAACTTATGGCAATATAAATGTAAAGTTATTATTGTGCACACTGGTTCATAATCAAAAGGTATTTCTTCATGTGCCTGGGCAGCCTATCAATGATCTACTGAAAGAAGTCTGCTACCTGTTGCCATTCATCCAGATCACTTCAGGGATTTACTGCATAGAACCCTGTTCTGTTCTTCTTGGGAGTGTCCCCCTGTGAAAAAAGCACGAGAGCACCAAATGTGTTTTCTTGCAAATAATAGGTAAAATTATACAAATACATGAGCAACCTTACTATACCTGCCATGTACTTACAATAATGACAGGGGCAGACCCCGGCTTCTGTTCCACCGGGGCTGGAGGGGCGTATGCCGGCTGAGGGCCCGGAGGCGATTGTGTCTTTTCAGGGTAATATGGATCCTGTGGAGTGACCACTTGGCCGCTTTCTGTTGTCATACAACACCACCGGACCAACTAAAGCAACAGCACATAGGAGCAGAGTTCAGTGGGTAGAAGTAGCGTAAAACAATGCCTATATCCTGATTAAATCCCTCCAACGAATGACATTCAAATACTGTACGTGGAACTACTAAGCACGTTCAACATACCGCGGGTATATTTTTGTTATCTGGTTTAACTAAAAACCAGAGAAATCCAGGGTTTGTTAATCTGGCTTTCTTTGTGTTTTTTTCAGCATTTGACCAATCACACACATGCATCATTCTGCTGTCAGACAAACAAAGACATTTAACACATAATCCAGACTGAAGCATTTGAAGCATTTTTTTGCCTGTGAACATTATTTTTGTATATTCTTATTTTTCTTTTATATTTTTTAAATGCTATTGTTCATTTCATTGTAATGTATTCTCTTTTGCAATGCCATGTAAATAATTCTGATTATTTTGATTCTTCAATTGAGGAAGGAAAGCAGGCCAGAAATGGCCGTCTGTGTGGAATGCATGAATTAGTAATGAAATGAATTAATTAGAACCAGTAAAAAATAGTAATATATCATAAAATCTGTTAATTTACAAATTCAAAGTGAGTGAATGTATTGCCAGCTGGCTTTTTTTTGCACATGCACATCTTTTATTATACCTTTTCTTGTGTTTGTGTATATCCATCCAAGAACCAATCTCTGATTCGGTAGTAAGCAGTGTTTTTTTATCATTCCACTAGCTTTGTCTGGCTGACTATATCCAGAAGATGATACAAAAATATCTTGGTTCAGCTCTTGTTGGCTTTAAATGACTGTATATGTTCGAGAAGCCCATGTTCAACTCTCCAAATATCCATTCACACACAAACACCATTTAAAATCAACAAAAACTAAAAATCGATAAATTCCTGCCAGAAAGGACGGAGCGGATGCTAAGTTAAATATGGCTCAAAGAAACACAGCAAACCCTATCGACAAACCCTATCGACGCACAATAACTTTATGTCTGGGCAGAAGTTAGATTAGCATGTGTTGTTGGCTTTGTGTTGTTGATGTTTACTGCATTGTTTAACATCTAATCCTAACTTAAACCTTAAATCCTGGCTCCTATTTAGTTAATATTAATCATGAGACTTGATTTATAGTTTGGTAATATAATTTGTAAATTATTAATAATTCTATTGACGGTTATTTAGTTTTACACTATCTATTAACCAGACAATGTCTCATAGACCCTAACAACTGCATTATAATGTTTCATCAAAACAATGATTTAGTTTATATATATATATATATATATATATATATATATATATATATATATATATATAATATTTGTTCGGTTACTTAAATTCTAACTTGCACTGGCCCTTTTACTGGAATCTTAACAGTAATGCTCCCCTCCAACTACAAGCATGAATTTGCTGACGAAGTGTGTGTCTATTATAGTATCTCCACTTCAGATAGACGGAAAGGATTTTATTTGCTGAAATGCTCAGTGAAGAGAAGTTTTCAGACCCGTGTTGAATCATCACATCTTAACCTGGTGGTTTACTCTCAAATCGGTGAGTTAACCACTAATGTGTTTCTGATAGTTATTTACCAAAGCAAATCATGCATGGTTTACGGCAATTAACTTTAAGGTGCAAACTTTCAGGTTGTGGCTTCGAAACTCTGAATATTGGTGCGCGGTTACAAGTAAACAGACTGCCATTCAGCTTTGCCTCTATTCTCATTTGTATTTGACTATGTACACTGCTGCTGTTATCAGTCGTAGTTACACCTATGTCTTTAGAGTTTAGTCTTTTCAAAGAAGGATTTGAATGTGTGTGATGCATAGGTTTTGTTCTTTGTTGGCCTTTCATGGACCCAAGCTAGAATGAAATTCTAGAACAGATAATCATTACGTTACATTATATGTCATTTAGCCGACACTTTTATCCAAAGCGAGAAACAAGAAACAAGAAAGTGTAATTTCATTAAATAAGCTGATTTGCTATAGATAAGAGCCATTACAGTACAATAAGTGCTACAATTTGTTAGTGTTTTTAGTCAAGGTATAGTCTATAATCAGAGTATAAACGTTGTATAAATAGAAAAACAGTCATCAAAATATTTTGACCATATGACTGTCAATATGTCATGTGGAGCGGAGCAACTAAAACTGTTGAATGAAAATTGATATTGCATAAACCTGCTTGATTACTTACCATCACAATAAAGAGGATTATGAGTAGCAACAAGATAGCAGAGGCCAATACTAAGACGGCAATACCCCATCCAGGTACCCCGTCATTGCTGCTGCTGCTGCTTCCGCCGCTGCCACCGCTGCCCGATGTCTGGGGAACAACCGACTTCCCAGTTGAAACACTCTGAGAATTTGTGTTTTTGTCACCCACAGTTGTGCTGTTCACTGTAGGGTCACTGTGAGTTGCATTATTTGTCTTGGTGGTTGACGATACTATTGTGGTATCTGGGGTAGTTGTAGCTTTTGTGATAGTTTTTGTAGTCATTAAGGTATTTATAGGTGTAATGGTAGTGTTAAGA